CACACTGTACAAGACCATAAACACTTATTGTGTGCAGCCCCTAATTTGAAATTTTCCCTCAAATTCAATGTCAAGAGCTAATGTAACATTTTCATCAACATAGATTAAAATCTGAATTTTATAGTGTCCTCACTAAAATCTGTCTTAAATGGCGTTGAACATTTTAGCACCGATGCAGTAAATATGTGTAAAGTCAAATCTCAGTGGCGGTGAAGAAACTTCAGTGTTTAATCTGAGGTGATATTTTTCTGCAGCAGTTACAGGAAGGACCCAGCATCACTGTGTGTCCTGTAACTCCCAGGTTCTTCCGTTTCCGTCCCTTACATGCGGGCTCTGTGTCTCGACACGTAGTAGCAACCCTTTCCCGGTGGTCCCGCACTGATCTTACTTCATCTGATAATCTTTATCTAATCCAGTCATCATGCGTGTTTGCAGGAGTCCTTTTTTTCCAACTGCACTGCACAAGCGTGTTGCAGACGAAGGCTTAAATCTCTTGCACATGAAAAACGTGTCCAACAAACCACTGAAGATTTTATGTTTCCACTTTAAGTCTTTACTCTACTTTTTTACCTTGAACTTATTTATATTTTTCTTGCTTTACATCCTTAAGCAGGAGCTTGTTATGTGAGCCCGTTCTTGCAAAGTGACGTTGTTGTCATTTTCCTTGAGTGTGTGTTTACTCAGGAGCCAATGTTGGCCCATGGTGGCCCTGTGTCTCTGCCTGTGTGTTTGGAAGAGATGTTGTCGTTGATCTGATCTGACCTAAAACCATGAGAAGACGGTAAATAGAACTGAGAGAGGACAGTAAGTGGCGTACGGGTGTTTTGTTTCAGATGACCAGGATCTGTGCAGTTTTTTGTGGTATGTGTTGCGACAGATTAAAAAAGCTTATCAGCAGTAAATTGGAATTAAATCACATCGATATAGTCCTCAAAAATAATAAACAAGTCTCCTGCGCTCTGAGTAAAAACACACATGCATTAGTGACAACTCTTCCTGTGAAACAGGACGATGCCTGCAGGGACTGTGCAGGAATCTGATTAGAATCAGCACCAGGGAAGAAAACATCCATTATGGCAGAGAGGCTTTCATTTAAGTAGCTTCATGTTATCTATCCTCACAGCGCCACTGAACCATCAAGCGCAGGGTACCAGCACTTGGCTAATTATTGGGTCTAATTCTCAAACGGCACAGCCGAACACCTTTGCTTGTCATGCCTTCATGAGCGTCAATGCCATTCTTCCATGCCAGCATGGTTCAGTGGAGCTGCACTCTGCTGGTCTCTCCACAGGCCTCTCACTTGTATAGCCTGTAATATAATGTTTACTTTTTCCCCCCCATCCTTAATTTGTGGTTGGGGTATTACTGAAATCAGAAAATGAGAGCTGAGCCGTTTCCGTGCAGGTCAGGGGAGGTGGGAAGCATAAACACACGAATAGGATGGAAGTTAGGTGTCTGCACATAGGCTCCTGTCGCAGGGCTGAGGGCTCCCCGATAAAGGCATTCCTTCAGCTATTAGGGAGAAAAACACTTCCTGAGAAGGTGGAGATGTTACAGTGAGTAGGTGGTCTTTGAAGAGCTCTCTGCAGGTAACTGAAAACAAAGAGGGAAACCTTCCTCCCTGCAGACACTTGCAGGGGTTTGAGATGTTATTTCTGCACAATAAGAACCGGATGTGGCCTGTATGACTGTAACTTAATGTTCCTGTCCGTGACTGAAAAGTTTGAAACAGAAGTTCATAGAAGACATATTAGTAAATGCATAGATGATATAATCAAAACCTGGTTGGCTTTTTTATCCTGTCCAATTTAGGAGCTATTCATTTTCAATTTTATTTTGTATTTTAAAAGGTTTACCTGATGGCAGTTTTATCCTGTCCAATTTATCATCTATTACCATGGAATTTTCTTTTTTTTAAATTTATAATATTCTACCTGAGGACTGTTATATCTGGTCAGAATTAGCTGATATTATTATTATGATTATTATTGTTGTTGTTATTACTACAGTTTACAGTAGTTTACAACATTCATATTCATATTCAAGTAACAGAGGTTATCTGGCAACTAGAGATGGCAGTAGTTAGCTGTTGGTGCTTCATAATGCAATAAGTTGTGCAATATTTTTTACAGTTTTAACAGCAACTTAACTGTTTTGCGTATAACCAGGCTCACTGTTAATCTCAACCACACTCACTTTGCCCCAAAGCTCTTAGTCCATTCATCTCCTGAGATGTTGTTGATCTCCTCCTGCACCTTAACCCATTTCTTCAGCTCACCAACTCTGCAGACTTGGAGCTAATGGCACAATCAGCTGCCTTGATATAATACCTCTCTCTCTCTCTCTCTCTTTCTCTCTTTCTCTAACCCCCCTTTCTATTCCTTTCTCTCCCTCTGCAGGATCCAGATCTGACACCACTCAACAATTATTATTATTATTATTATTATTATTATTACTGGGGCTTCTATCATTAATAACATCGTGACGTCATGAATATCTTTCTTATTATTTTTATTATAACAACCAGTGTGACAGAGCTTAAATATGATGGTTACACAACTGTTCCAACTCTTCTCTCTCTCCCCTCTTTTCCAGCAACCTCTCCCCTCTCCCTTCATTTTTCTCCGCTCACCCCAACCCGTCGAGGCAGATAGCATCCTACACTACTTCTGCCAGAGGTTTTTCATTCTAAGGTCTCTATGTCAAGTGTCTTAAGATAGTGTGTGTTGTGATTTGGCGCTATACAAATAAAGTTAAATAGAATTGAATAACACAACATCAGGTGAAGGTGTGTTAGAATGATGTCAGACAAACAGTATGAGCTCATGCACTCTACATGTCATGATGGGACCAGTGCATCCTTGCTCCTATATCCGCTCGCTGAGGTCGGGCTTGCTGACTGTGCCACACACAAACTACAAAAACTGCAGTGAAGCAGTTCCGTGTAATTATGCAAAGATAGACAAAGAAGAAAAGACATATTTAAAAGAATGCTCAAAACTTCATCTTGCCTTTACCTGCTGTAACCATTTTATATCTTTTACTGTCTTAATATGTTATGTTTTTAGCCTTGTGTTGTATATGTAAAGCACTTTAAACTGCTTGTTATGCTATGAAAAGAGCTAACAACATTTGTTATTAGTAGTATTATCATTATATGATCTATGAGAAAAAGCTGTCCACTTAAATGCAGGAATTATTTTTTTAGAGCATGTCACCCCTGGTCTGCACAGACAGTGTGTTTATGTAAATCTGAGATGTCTAAAACTTCAACAATCTTTGACCTGTTCGTTCTTTAATTCGATTCAACGCAGAGTCAAACTGATTGTAATAAACCAGAAGAGTTTATTTCAATGCATAAAATAATCATTTCTCTCAAGCAGTGGCTCAATTTGGAAACTGAATTCAATTTCATGATACATGATGAGAGGAGCAGCTGTACTTGTCAAACGTCCCTGCAGACATTAAGAATGTGTTGTGGAAGCCTGTTTACTTGAATTGACATGACACCACTGTTATTGATTGTCATTATCACTGTGTCAGTGTCAATACGCAGCCAAAGCCACAGGCCTTGTACAGGCACAGCCATCTCAACTTTAAACTGCATTCAAATGAGCTTAAACATGATATTTCCAATCGTCAGGAATGTGGGTTTATTGTCCTTTTCTTTTAATATCCAACAGAATTTTTTTTCCTGATGGGACTTTTTACTTCCTCCATAGTTGTAAACAAACTACATAAACCCACTCAAGTTTAACAGCTTAAATACAAATAGGCATGTTTTATTTAATTCTGACCCTTTATTTACACTCCACTGTTGTAATACACTATTGTCACAGAAAAATGTAGTGTCTGTGAAAACTATACAATTTCTCCATTGTCACTGAGGCCAGCTTTGGATTCTCCATCACTGTTACACTCTGTCCTCTGCGGCCGTGGCGCACGGCTGCGCTTGTCTCCAAATGTCTGCATCTCCTCCATATCGGACGCGTTGAAGTCCAGCAGGCCCTGCAGGTGTTTGATATAGTCTATGGCCGCCCGCAGAGTCTCCACTTTACTCAGCCGCTTGTCCTCCAGCTCCTGCGGCAGATGCTCCCGGAGCCGCGCGTAACCCTCGTTTACGCAGCGCACACGGTGCCGCTCCCTCTCGTTCCTCTTGCGGATGAACGCGGGCTCGAAGGAGTAATCGCACACGCCGAGGGCTCCGTGGAAGGGGAAGTAGGATAAGCGTCTGTAGGGCAACATGTGGCCGTGCACCGGGTCCAGGTATGAAGCGTCCAGGTGCAGGGGCAGCCCGAACCGGAGCGCGTCTTTGGTGTAGTGAGCACCGCTGTCCTCCATGGAGAGGCCGTGCAGAGCCAGCGGACCCTTAGGAAACATGCTCCATTAACTCCTCCTGTGATGGGACAAATTAATGAAACCTAAAATAAAAAAGAAGATGACAGTTAAGAAGAAGTAAAATAGTTCATATGCAAACTATTCTGCACCAAATGATCCTGCGCTCACCTTGTCAGTCTCCTCACAACCATCTCGCTCTTTGTGGAAGAGTCCCCTCTGGTATATTTTATGGTTATAGATGTCTGGAGCAGGACACCGTGAGTGGCAGTTTGTTTCTGGGGTTTTCAGGATATACACGGCAGGGAGGGTGTGACCCAGGGCGGGGATGTAACCATGAGTCTTCCTTCCTGCCACGATCTAACTGTTGTCATAATGAAAACTGCGCGATCTTATAATAAGGTAGGTTGTGTTAATTATAACTGGCTTGATTGATTCTATTAAAGCACACCTTTGTTTTAATCTAATTTATTATGCAAAATCGCTGATTTCATAGGCTGCAGAATAAGTATTATTATAAAAAGTGCAAAAATACAGCAAATAAGAAAACACTGTTCAAAAAAGAAAGAAAACACACACAAAAAATGAAAATATGAAGACAGTGTGTCCATCCGATCAGAAACGAGCCTTGTGGTCAGTAGATAAATACCTTTTTTGTTAGAAGTAAATCTGTTTTGTAACTTCTTGTGTTTTTGTATATTTCGTTTTGTGTATTGTAATTGATGGCTTGTGTTTTCTTATTTTCTGTTAGTTTTGTGATTTGCAGTTCAGGGCCACCGTCTTAAGCCTGTATAATCAGGTACTTCTGTACATGGTCATTCAGGTGTAAACACGTGCTAATTATAAATTGCTGATCTTTCTTTCATTCAATTCTGAAAATCACAGTTCAGAGGCAGTTATTTACATTTTACATTATAGATGGTAAATA